CGAACGAATGAAGTATTTTTGATTTTTTTTGTAATATATTTTATTTATATTTTATTTATATTTTATATTTTATATTTATTTATATTTTATTTGTAATATATTTTATAGATTATCGTCCTTCTGTTTTGTTTGAAACTTTGCATGCATTTTTATTTATTAATAGTACAATTATTAAAAACACAATTGATTACTATAAAACGTCAAAATAATAAATTTCAATTTGACATTTAGTGTACCTACTTGATTAACGCCTGCCTTGTAAGCAAAGGACCCAGGTTCAAACACCCGACAGGTTAGTTTTTTATTTTTTACTTTTGTTTTTTTTTCAACAACTTTTCATAATCATTAAGTAATCAATTAAATAATCGTTATAAAATAATATTGAGTGTTTCTTTCCACATAAATATTGTGTAAGTTTCTAAATTTTAGTTCCTGCGGTATAATAGCGTATGCACTACGAGACTAAAGTGCGTTTTAATCCATCGAGTGATTGTTGTGCCTTCGCTCCGCTTTGGCGCTCTCGGGTTTAAAAGTGGCACTTTAGTCGCTTGGTACATAATATACTGTTTAATATATTTCGGAGTTATTTAAGCTATCTCGATCCGTATGCATTCTGTGAATTCATCGATATTTTGGTATACTTTTATTTAAATATCCCAATAAAACTAAATCAAGAGTTAAATCTGGCGACCTATGTGGCTATTTGATTGATCCTTTTCACCCAATTAATCTATATGGAAAGGCATTTAAAATTATATTAAGGAAGTATATTTGCATTTTTAATGCCAATTATTATTAGTTTAATGTATTTTCTCGTCGCAACTATCATAGTTGAAGGTAATTTACAGGAAACTACGCAATTTATTTAGAAGTGTGGCAACAGCGTAAAGCAAGCTTCTTAGTTGTAAATACTAATTCGTTCATAAAACGCGTGCTCGCACCTTAGAAAGACAATATCTCATAAATCATCTCCCTCTCAATTTAGCAGCCATCTCGCTCTTTCTAATGCGACAACCGATGCGACAATTTTATCTGTCTGTCTAACTAAAACACAATCTGAATGCTTACAATAAATAAAGGCTTAATAATGAATTAATGGATTGGTGTAGCAGTTATTCGTCGTTGTGTTGTAATAGTTGTAATTTTATAAATATTTTTTTATAGTTTACAAACATCATTTTCTTAAAATTATTGATACGGTTAGATAGTATAATTAAAGGACCTTTCAAATGATGTTTTTACATTCTTGAAATGTAGGCGTGTAAATAAAAATAAATAAAAATAAATAAAAATAAATAAAAATAAATAAAAATAAATAAAAGTAAATAAAAATAAATAAAAATAAATAAAAATAAATAAAAATAAAAATAAATAAAAATAAATAAAAATAAATAAAAATAAATAAAAATAAATAAAAATAAATAAAAATAAATAAAAATAAATAAAAATAAATAAAAATAAATAAAAATAAATAAAAATAAATAAAAATAAATAAAAATAAATAAAAATAAATAAATGAAAATAAATAAAAATAAACATAGTTACGATTTAAAGCGTTGTAATGAATTATCATTTTCTAAAGTCGGATAAAACTCATCTTCAATTTTATAACGAATTTATTTAAATGGCCCTTAAGTAGAACAAATTTGAAATTTATATCTTTTTATAAAGTTGACTTCTTATGACCTGTAAAGATTGAACTAAATATATTTTATAAATACTACTTGTGGATTATTCCACTCGGCTTACATTAATATTATTATTATATTCGCTTGATTTAAAAAAATATTATCTTAAAATGATATATTTTTATCCACTCAATAAAAATATACCTAAATAATCTAGGTTATGCTAGGTTATGAAATAATTTTCTTTATTTTTCTAACACTTGCGGTATACAAACTCTTTTAAATTTTTTGCACACCCTCCCTTTAATAGTTAAAGCAATTTCTTTACCGTGAAGTTAGCCCCAATGAAGTATATTGCACCGATATGCACTTCTGATATAAGTACTAGCAATACAAGTATTAGAAATAAAAAATAAAAAAAAACGACTTCAAAAACGTGCAGATGCCGTCACCACATCTTAACCAAATTTATATGGGACCACCCCTGAGGTATCCCCTTACTAACAAAAAAAGAATCATATAAATCGGACAAGCTGGTAAAGCATTATCGCTAAACATACATAAAAAATGAAGAGTTTGAGGATTTGCTCACAGACCCAATTATTATATTTTGACCAAATTTATATGGGACCACCCCTTTCTAACAAAAAAAGAATTATTGAAATCGGACACCGTGTTGAAGAATTATCGCTGAACATACATAAAAAAAGTCGGTTAAAAACTATTTGTACTCCCTTCCTTTAGTAGTTTCAACCTTTTCTTTACCAAGAAGTTAACCCCTCCCAATGACATAGAAAAAAAATATTGCACCGATATGTATACATCATTTACTCATTTTTAACCGACTTCAAAAAAGGAGGAGGTTATCAATTCGTCGCAATATTTTTTTTTATCCCTAAGTTAATTTTTGGCCACTTCGTACCCAGATGCATTTTTCAAGTTGTCAGGTTACATCTCTCAATTTCAAACCAGATATATATCAGATAACACCGTCCACGCCCATTCAAAATACAGCGATAAATCCCTTGCTATACAATGTGTCCCAAATTTTTTGCTGGCAAAGGTTGTCAGTTTTCTTCTCCAGAAATATCCAGAAGCGGCGAAAATTGGGACACATTTACAGGTTGTATTTGTATTGTTTTTATCGAGAAATTACATTTTTATTGTAATTTGTCGTTAACATTTTCTTTGTAAAATTAATACCAGTGCAATAGTCTATGTTTACAAAACTTCATTGCTAACTTCACGGTGAAGAAGTTGCTGTAACTACTGAAGGAAAATGGTTCAAAAAGTTTTATTGGTGGTTCATATGAGTGAATTACAAGGGCTAACTGGTAAATTACAGTAAATCATAAAAAATGTACTGAGGGGAGCAGCGTTTATTTGCCCACTCCCCCACATGTTGTTATGTTGATAATGGGGTGTTAATACACTGCGACCTAAAAGAACTATTGTGCCCCCTTCTGTCGCTACTGCACTAAGGAAATGTCTCAATGCCTATAGCGACCCTTCCAATCCTATTTTCTCAAGGAAGTGTACGATTTGAAGTGGCTTCAAGTTAGGTAAGTCTCCCTCTTCTATTTGATATCCTCCTAGATATAGTGCCCTTGGATTCTGGAGTGCTACACATTCAGTTAGGATGTGAATGGAGGTTTCGTCCTCCTCCTCACAGAATCTGCACTCACTATCCTCTACTACTCTTAGTTTACTTAGGTGTCCTTTTAGTCGGCAGTGCCCGGTAAGGATCCCTGTTACAATACGTAGCCTGTTCTTGCTCAGGCAGATGCAGGCTTCCGATCTTTTTTGGTTATATTCACCCAGAAGTATCTTGGCCTGTCTCAGCCCCAAGAGATTGTTCCAATTATCGGTTCTTCTACTACCCAATTCTTTTTTAATCTCTTCTAATATTATGTTACTGCTGATACCGCAGAACGGCTCAGGTCCTACAAAGGGTGTTTGAGCCCCTTTCCTTGCAAGACTATCTGCAATCTCGTTACCCTGTACCCCGTTATGTCCCGGGACCCAAGTGAGAGTAACTCTATTTTTCTCGCCTAGCTCATTCAATTGTTCTAGGCATCTCTATACCATTTTTGAGCTGATTACGTAAGAACTCAGCGCTTTGATGGCTGCTTGACTATCGGACATGATGATAATCTCTTGTCTATGATAGTTTCTCTCGATGTTAAACTGGATACACTTCTCGATGGCGTGAATTTCCGCCTGGAAGATGCTTGGGTATTTTCCCAAGCTTTCGGAGTGCTTGGTTCTCGGCCCATACACTCCTATTCCAGTTCCTTCTATGGTTTTGGAACCGTCCGTGTACCACTGAATAGCACGTCTTTCGGTTGCAAGCGCGATGGATTCTTGGCTCCATTCTTTCTTGCAGCCCAGCTCTGTGGTTTTGAAGTTTTTCACAAAACTGTACTTCTTTTGCATTTCATCCTGGGGTATGTCCCAGGTATCTTTAGTCCTGAAGCAAGTAGACTTTCGTCTGATTACTCCGTTCCTGAAGAAGTTGCTGTAACTACTGAAGGAAAATGGTTCAAAAAGTTTTATTGGTGGTTCATATGAGTGAATTACAAGGGCTAACTGGTAAATTACAGTAAATCATAAAAAATGTACTGAGGGGAGCAGCGTTTATTTGCCCACTCCCCCACATAGAAATAGTTGTAGTTTCGCAAGGAAGGTGGTGCAAAAAAAATAATTAGTGATGCATATTTGTGCAACAGTAGTGCATTCTAAAATGTATTCTAGTGCACTAGATTTTTTTTTAAAGATCATTGGGGGCAACTTCACCAATTTCCTTTAGGGTAGATTAGAAAACCATCAGATCCAAACCTCGCTAAAAACTATAGGTATAATTAAGTCTTCGGCTATTAATGATTTCAAATTATGTTACATAAAAATGGTTATAGGCAAAGTACTTTATAGTAATTTGTTTTGCATTCAAACAATTTACCTGCTACCCAATTCACCCACCCTACCTTGTAACTAACTGTAGAAAAAGTTATATATTCAAATTAATGATCTAGATTTGGCTTCCTTTTATTCAGTAATTCAATTAAAAACCTCTTAATACCCGTAATATTGATTTATTGGTAATTTGTCTTTAACCGCTGTTTATATTATTTTAAATGTCTCATTATCTAATGATGATTCCCATAAACAAATAAATAGTAATACTAGATAAATAAGAAGCATTTAATTTATTCATAATTTTTTTTTTTTTTTTTGTTAAATATAACTGACTTATTTACTATAATCAACAAGTTTTACAATCTAAATCATGTCTACTAAAATTTCGATTATTTAGGGGTTCTACTTATTAGAAATATAAATTATGAAATAGAAAAAAAAATGTTAAAAACTCACCTACGCAAGCTGCTATATAGAGAAAAGTCCGATCGGGTTTACTAGTAGGCATCTTGAAACGACGTTAACACTTTAATCCCGTACAAGATTTGATTCTTGCACTCGTGCTAAGATAACTACTTCTTCGTGCCCCTCTCTACTTAGTTTTATATCTGTAAATTTCGCTCTCCGCCATTTTTCTCAAATTTGTTGATTTAAATTCGCGTAAAATACGCTCTCGTTAGCGTAATCTTGTTAATCGGCCAATTTGTTTGTGTTAGATTTGTTTATATCAAATAGTAATCATGTAATAGTTATTCAAAAATCTACTATTACGTTATTATTGCGTTACTAAACAAGACTCAAATATCAGATTTTAAATGATTCACGTATGCCAATTTTTGAGACAGCCTCACTTTTTTTATGAGTCCATTTTAAACTTTAAAATTTACATAGTAGTTTAGTAAAATTTTGAAGGTTCAGATAATATCACTGGAGGCGGAGAAATAATTATTAAAATTGAAAATTGTATGTCCTCTATTATGTCCCTTAGCGTGTTCAATTTAAATTTTGTTGCCAAATGTCTAATTTTTCTATTAATCCCATTTCTGTGTGCATTGTAGCTAATTTAGTAACGTCCACAAAAGTCAAATAAGACAAGACAACTAGAACAAAAATGCAAACCATTGAAACTATCTACACATTACGAGAAGAAAACATAAATGCCCATACAGCACAAACACATTTCGGAAATATTTCAACAATGTTACATTGAAACATTTGCAATGTATAAATATTATTAAACATCCCAGAAACATTTCTGAAATATGCCTGAAACGTAAAAATGTCCTGTAAATATAATATTTCACAGTAATATTTCTGGAATGAAAATTTGAAATCTTTTAGAAATATTAAATAGTAATATTTCAGAAATGTATTCTAGTTTTTTTTTTCTAATATATTAGACCAAAAAAAGACATTTAGAAATATACATGTTTATTTAAAATACACAAAACTCAAAGATTAATTCTTAAACAAACAAATAAATAATTGTTTTAAAGAATATTTCATTAAATATAGAAGTTAATTGCTTCATTTCCACCAATTCCTTTAAATGCACTAATTTGAAACAACTAGGTTTTTTTTAATAAATTTTCCAAGTAAAGAAACATCTACGATTATTATAATCTAATCATTAAGATCAATTAGCAACTTAATTTTTACCTAACTTATCTAGGGATGAAAAACTTCATAAACTAAGATTCTACTCACTATATAGTGTAGGGGAGAGTGTCGCATCTTGGGACGATTCTATATTTTTAAATTTTTGTATAAATATTTTCAAATATAAATTAATTTAATCATGTCTTACATACTAAGTGGTATTTTAGCTATTTAGTTCCTACAGCAACGCCCTACCTAGTTACAACCTCGAAATTGGAAATCAAATTGTAGTTTCACCTGCAAGTAAAATTAAATATATTGGCATAATAATAGACAATAATTTAAGATGGGATCAACATATAGAATACCTTCATAAAAACTACGCTATATACTATTTAAATTTAAACAAATATGCGGCATATTAGATTTTAAACAAAAAATAGTTATATATAAAAATTTAGTTGAATCTCACCTTAGTTATGGAATAATAGCTTGGGGTGGCGTATCGAAAACTTACCTATCAGCTCTCGAAGTTTTACAAAAGCGATTTCTAAGAACAATCCTTAACGCTGGTTACGACTGCCCTAGCAACGTCTTATACCGTAATAGTAGCATATTTGACATTAGACAATTATATTTTATAAACACTGCAATGATTACATATAAACATAAAACAGAATTGCAAACTCTATGTCATAAATATGCTACTCGAAATAAAGGCGCGTACATTACCCCTTACATGCAAAAGGCAATCGGACAAAGACATTATTTATATTTAGGTCCAAAAATTTATAACTTGTTACCTCCCGATATTAAGGTGGAAACCAGGCTATTTGTATTTAAACAAAAAATAAAATATTATGTTCTTAATATGCCACGGGATGTTGTTCATGATATTATTGAACAATAAAAATGTAAAAAAAAACATATATTATGTTTAAATAATTTTTTTTTGTCTTAAAAATATTTTTGTACAATTCATTTTACTATATTTATTTGTGAATGACCACTCACAAGTAGGCTTGACCTGCTTCGTGGTTTTTGTTTCTTGTTTATTTGTGCTTTGTATTTTTTAATATGTATCTTTTATATTTTCAAATAAACATTATTATTATTATTATTATTATTATTAGAGGGAAATTATTGGGTAAAATATGCTGTAAAATATTTATGATATTTGAATGACAAAATATATTGCAAAATGTCCCAAGGTACAACCGGGGCTTGTACCAACAAATGGGGATACAAGGCGAATGACGAGAAAAAGATACCCATATGCACAACATCTTAATTATATAGTACATGTTGAAAGACATTAAGTCTATTTGAAAAGAGAATTGTTCATTTAAGCTTTCGGATCCACCCACGACCGATGGTTTTGGCAATTTTTTCAAAATTTCTGATTCGATTATTTCATAAACCTGCTGTTGTTCATTATTTTTTTTTTTAGGTAAACAACATCAAAACCGTCTTCTAAAATATTTTTAATTTCCGCTATGCAGTGTTGTACAGTCTTTTTTTCCCTTCAGTTCTACCAACACGAGACTTCGTGTATCATTTCATTTTCCATAGCTATTTCTTCATCTCTCTCGGCGTTTGCATCTTCAACTAGTTTTTCCAAATAATCGTCGTCGTCACTAGAGTTCTGCACAGATCCTATTTCTACATCATCGTCTGAGCTTTCATCAAAAACTTGTTTTGTCACTTTTCGAACTTTATGATTAGATTTTTTTGCTTTTATCTTCAAAAATTCCACTTCGATCTCATTTTTTTCTGGTGTTTCCATTAATATCCTGGATTTGCCTTTCTTTCTGCCTCCTTTTGTCTTTCTAGGTGCAGCTTTTGGATAGGGTTTTATCATTTCTGGGGTCACTATGCTTTGATGCGATGGCCCAGGCTTGTCAAGATTATCAATTTATTCTGTTATAACCTCAGCTGGATCTGCTCGGTCTGTGACGAAACCGCTTAAAAATTCATCATCGCCAAAAATTTCTGAATTAGTAGACATTAGTAGACAAGTACCTGGAACCGCAAACCCCTTCGTGATGTTTTGCTGTGTGAATGCTTTTGGGTATGCTTTTCCAATAATTTCGGCAACTTGGTAAAGACTAATTGGTTTTCACAGATTTTGAAGCACCCATTCATTAGCAGCTTGATTGAAAAAGGTCTTATAAGCACCAAACACAGTCCTATCTAAGGGCTATAATTTGTGGGATCTGTGCGGGGGAAATGTGAGCAATACAACATCAATCGCCTTGGCCAATTCAATCACAGGAAGTGAAATATGACTTTCATGATTATCATACAGCAGAAGAACGGGATTATCATTTGATGGTTTCACATGGGCGATGAAATGCTTTATAAAGTGTAAAAATTTTTCTTTGTTTGACCACCCTGAAGGATTAGCAGCTCCGATGGTACCTGGAGGCGCTCCGTTCAACATGTGCTCTTTGAAATGCATTCTCGGAAAAATAAGCATTGGGGGAACGTGGTTTCCTATAGCACTAATACCGGCTATCATATTAATATTGATTCCACGTTCGCCTGACGTCATAGAGCCTACTTGTTTCACTCCCTTAGCAGCAACAATTCGAGGTAGAACGTGAACCGTACTGTTGCCAGTTTCGTTGACGTTATATATATATATATATATATATATATATATATATATATATATATATATATATATATATATATATATATATTACTCGCCTAGAACTTGTATTTTTCTTGGCATTTCTTTAGTTTGTCAAAAAAATCAGACACGTTTTTTTTTGTTGAAACTCGTTGAACGTGACAAACTGGTTGCCTCTGCATTTCGCAATGACAATTTTTCATGACGCTTCAGGAACCAGCGAAGCCACTCTCTACCGGCTCTTTTCTCTTTCTTCCATATTTCTGGCATGTACTTGTTATTCCTTTCAGCATACTGATAAGCCAATACCCGCATTTCTTGTTTGGTTAAACCATAATGGAGTCAAGATGAAAACAACAAATAATAGTCATCAAGCTGCTTCTCTTCTTCCTCCGTGAACATTTTTTTTATGGCATTGGTAGCTGAGTATTCAAAGTCGTGTTTGCCGGATTCGCGGTGAAGCTTAATGTGGCGTGCTAAAGTTGACTTACATTATATGCGGCTGCTGCATCTCTCACACCTGCACTATGCTGAAGAACGTCTTTAACAGCTAACTTGAGATTAGAAATAACAACAGGATTTGTCTTTTTGCCAGTTTTACTTCGTGGCATTTTGCTAAATCTGTAAAAATGTAAAGTTGGAGAAAAAACAACACAGAGAACATCTTCGGTTTCAATGTTTTACAATAATACAAATTGTATGTACCTTAGGACAGTCCCAAGGTTCATGCAATTTGCTGTCCCAAGGTATATGTTATGCATCTTTGCTACCCTTTTAACCACGGGCTTCATAGACTAGCAGCGTTGTCATATTCACTGTATCATTGTTCTAATAGAATGAGTATCGGAATGAAAACTATGTTAATCTTTCATCCTGTTTAAAATTGGTAATCTTTTTAAAAAAAAGTTATTTAGAAAATAGTTAAGATATTTGTTATATAATGACGCTAAAGAGCAAAAAAATTAAATTTGGTAAAAAGTTGAAATTTTTGTTGTTTTTCTATGAAAATATAAGCTTTTCGCGATTTAGCGTCATTCTTGGTTCATTTTTAGAACGATTTGCCTACATCATTTTTTTTACAATTTTTTTTAACTGCCTCAAATGTAAAATTGATTTTTGGCGGAGGAGCGCCCGTCATGTTTGCTCTTAACCACAGATTAAATGTTTGGAACAGAGGTGGAGCATGACTAGTTTTGGTGAATGACCATCATCGGTATAAAAACTAAAATTGTTAACAAAGTGGAGAAAATTTTAAAAGTGTCTGTTCATGTAGCTCAAGTAATGTTAAGGTTGAATGTATCAGGTGAACATCTTTTAAGAGCCAATAAATGTGTACGATATGATAATAGGTAATGAGTTCCGCGAAGAATTTTGTAGGAAACTTGAGCCTTATCGGAT